TTTGAATAATGCTGAGGCGCTGTCCTAGGTCATTTCTTTGGATCCTCTATTCAAAAAGAGAGTGCTAACTTTTCGATTGTTTGTAGGCTTTTCTCTTAGACTGTCTTTCAAAAAACTGTGCTCACTACTCAGGCACAGTGTTGATCCATGGTGACGTCCAAGTGAGTGCTCATACCTTGAAGAACAGACAACGTCAATATTGACTTTGCTCAAGACGATCTGGTGTACCCCTGAGCCAGGGGCAATGCCCGATCAACCTGGTTTACCCATCCATCACTTGAGATGGACACTCCACAGTCCGCTACCTCAAGATTAGAAAGTTCTATCTGCTCAGTATCTAACTTTGAGAAATTTGACGAAAAAATAGTTTTGAGTTTCACAGTATGTCTAGCTTTTCCGACTGCAATTCTTTGAATATCTTGATAACGACTCTTTTAAGATTTTGATAGAACGTTTGTTTTCTGACGTCATGGTCTTAGTAACTGAAAACGGCCAGAAATGTCAGACAGAACTTTATAATTCTAAGGTAGCGAGTTGTCAGCTGATTTTATCATACACGTTCATATTCAACTTGTTCTTCGGTGACAGTAGGTTTCATGGAAATTTAAATACCACTGCTTGATGGACGAAGGTCAGGGATAACGTAGCTAGGCCTAATGCACGCCTTACACCTAGTGCACACTGCCAGTCGATTTATTTTGATTGAGTCGGGACCAGTCAGACTTTTCCCACCAATTAGCAACAGCTGGATTCGAGAATATTAAATTAGTAAATTCGATCGTGACCTTCAAAGTCAAATGCGTTTGTTTTTCATAGTCGAGAGACAAATCGGTCGTATCGTGTCAAAATGTTAGCATTTGCTCCTAGTGGACCCTGTTCTGTTCGACTGAATTCTCACAATCAACACTGAACCAGTTCAATCAAATGGTATCATTTTGCTCAAGTAAAGCCATGAGTACCAAAGTATATTATAATGTATTAGTTTATTTCATTTTTCAAAACAGCAAACATTCCCATATTAACGTCGTGTAGGCTAGATACATATATTAGAGACAAATATCCACTCTAGCCTTTTAGAGTTATTGTACTCCTTTGCTTTTCATTTCTTGCAGTCAATGCTACTGACGCACATTGGAAAGAATGGCAGGCGAAAAGGATGAAGTGGTTTGAGATGATAGCGCATTAAACAAAACACACCCACACACACACACACGCGCACACACACACACACACACACACACACACACACACACACACACACACACACACACACACAAAATTCATAATATTATTATTACACTCATGACAAATGTTTATTTATTCACGCTGTCTTGCTTCAAGGCGGTTCTTTGTTGGGTCGCTGGAGGGCGCCACTTGTAGGTCCTTCTTTTCCCTTCAATTCTTGTTTCTTTCAGTCTTGCTTCTTCCCAGCACTGCATGGCCGTTATTGTGTCGATGCGCTTCTGTCTACTCAAAGTCAACTCAAACACACACGCGCTTCGTTGAAGAAAGGGCGCCGCTAAAAGCTGTCCTTGCCTGTCTGTCTGTCTGTCTGTCTGTCTGTCTGTCTGTCTGTCTGTCTGTCTGTCTGTCTGTCTGTCTGTCTGTCTCACACTCTCTTTTCTTACTCGCTCTCTCTGTATTTCTTTCTCGCTCTCTCTCTCTCTCTCTATTCCTCTCTCCCTCACACCCTTCTCCGCGCGCGCGGGCGCGTGTGTTTGTGTGTGTGTGTGTGTGTGTGTGTGTGTGTGTGTGTGTGTGTGTGTGTGTGTGTGTGTGTTTTTTTGTGTTTGTGTTTGTGCCTGTATAGGTGCGTGCATGCGTTCGCGCGTGTGTGTATGTGTGTGTATGAGTGTGTTTGCGCGTGTATGTGTGTGTTTGTGTGTATGTGTGTGTGTGTGTGTGTGTGTGTGTGTTTGTTTGTGTGTGTGTGTTGAGGGGCGGGGTGCGTGCGTGAGTGTATAATATGTTTATGTTGCTTAGCGTGGGATGGCGAGGGGAGGAAGAGATGAAAGGTGAATCTATTAAAAAGGAAATTTTTAAGTAAGTCGGGACAGGGGTTTCGATTTTTTTTGGTAGCATTTGGGTCAAATTTTTTCTGTTTACTTTGGGATTAAAAGTTATTTCGGCTTGCTTTGATTTGATTTGTATTAGTTGTTTTTGTTTAAAAAGACGGGTCAGGGTGAATGTCGGAGGATTTTGAGTCTCAATGGAAAAAAAAGTGGTAGTAGGATAACAAATTTAGGTAAACTTTTAGGGTATTAATCTCGTCTGGTTGGGAGACAGTTGTGACCCCCGGGCTGAGAGGAAAAAGAGGAGACCGCCGACCAACAGGATACTTCCCCCAGCACAACACAGATAGAATGAATAGCCAAGTGGACCAAACACCTTGAGAAGTGAGTAGACCTTTGTGCCCCAGATGATAACGCCGATGTACATAATGAAACCTGAGAAGGAAATAAAATGAGGGTGGATATGAGTGTCTGTGTGTGTGTGTGTG